AAGTGGCCACTGTAGACAGGCGGCAAGATTTTGCGCATTTGCGCAAAATCATGCCAATCTAGATGCAGCCCATGGGTAAGGCCAACTTAGCAATACGGCATGAGTCAGCGTCTGAATACCCATATTGTACTGATCTCTTTTCTCTTGTGCTAAACCTATTGACTTTTCTGCAGCAGTCCAGGCTGCTATTGGCTGTTTGATCTCTTGGGCATATGTCATACAAAGCACCATATGGTCAAGTGGTTGTCTGTACAATTCCTCATCAGCTGAGAACCAGCCCTGAAGAGCTTCCCTACCTGTGTGACTGTGAGGATAAAGCTTTTCCACTCCTCCCTATTGTCGTAATCTTCGACCTGAGAGAATAAAAAGGAGACATGGAAGAATGACTCCATCACCAAGCACTCCCTGGTCTGCCCTGTGTGTCCCTCTCTCAATCCCCTCGGTGTCTGCATTTTTCTGGTGACTTGGGCACCACTCGTCCCATGGGGAAAATAAAATTAATTTCTTCCCGGTACGGGAGGGGCACATCAGCTAAGCGGGACCACGTTAGGGATGTTCACTGTCGGATGTTAGTGTAAATGTGCAACCACTGGAAATGTTAGTGGTTACACATTTACACGGGGGAGGGCAGGTGGCAGGGTGATCGGTTAATCGTGTAATCAACTATGCGTGGACATCCCTAAATCACGTGAGCTCTCCACATGATTCTGCCCCACTTTCCCCCCGGGCTTCCCTGTTTTCCCCCTCCCCCACCCATCTTGCCTGGGGGAAGGCTGGGGGCATTCCGGCAGCAGGAGGAGCTGCTGGCGTTCTGCTCCTTTCCCTGCTCTCTCTCTGTTCGGGTGACCAGGAGCAGCGTGGGTCCCACATTGCAACTGCGCACAAGTCGGGAGGCCTTTCCAGCTCCACTCACCTTCAGCTCCACATCCTCATTCGGCAGCATCAGGAGGAACCGGGCACCCCCCCTCCTTTCATCTGGATACACGTTCGCTATTGATGTCAGATTCACCAACTCTAGCTTCTTGGTGTACTGCGAGGGGAAAGGAAGTCGGGGCATGGCATTCAAGCATGTCTGACAAAGCCAGCTGGTCCCAGCAGACGCTCATTGCACCAAGAAAACGCTGGGTTTGTTTTTTTCAATTTCAGACTGGCACCATTAACCTATGTGGCTACACTCTGTCCTGTGTGTTTTCTTTTAAAAACTACTTTCAGCTACACTGCGCATTCTGGGAAAACGCCTCTCCACCCTTCAGTGTGGATATACAGCACGGATTAGCTGTTGCTTCGGCTGAGCTTGTTCTACCTTGTGTTACAGGAAAGCCCACGCACGGAAGGAGTGAAGCACCGAGGATCCGAATGCAATCCATAGCCTCCCTGCCATCTAAAGAGCTCAGAGTTAACCACATTCCCAGATTGCTCAGTGATTATGTGCTAGATTCAGCATTGGTGTGTCCAGGTATCCCATGTGAAGGTACGTAGTTATTTTACTGAGTCAAACTGGCAGCCAAATTGGGTGGGTCTCCTTAGCTGCGACAGAAGAGCACAAAAAGCTGAGTTTCTTCGAGGAAAGAGCTAACTAGATGATGGGATTGAGGTAGTCCTGCCTGAGGAACAAAAAACTCAACAGAGGGCAGGTTCAAAATATATAGGCCGTGTCCTGCCAATAGCCACATAATAGGATAAACTTAAAAAACAACAAAGAGTCAGGTAGCACTTTAAAGACTAACAACACCGGTAGTATTTGTTGTTTTTTAAGTGTATCCTCTGCAGACTAACTCGGCTACCCCCTGAAGCACATAATAGGACTCCTTAAAGAGAACACGTCCCTCTCTGCTCACCTGTAAGCAACTCACTCCATGGCTATGTCTACGCTCGCGGCTTCTTGCGCAAGGATGGCCATTCTTGCGCAAGAATCTGCAGAGCGTCCACACTGCCCGCCTGCTCTTGCACAAGGAAATTTACAGTACGGCGTGGGAAGAGAGGGCTCCTTGCTCAAGAGCTACGCTCTTTTTTTATCAGGTGTAAGTCCTCTGGCGCAGGAGCTCTTGTGCAAGAGGGCAGTGTGGACGCTCGGCAGGGATTTCTTGCGCAAGAAAGCCCTGTGGCTAAAATGGCCATCGGAGCATTCTTGTGCAAAAGAGTGTCCACACTGCCATGGGTGCTCTTGTGCAAAAGCACAGCTCACACATGGTAGTGTGGACGTTTTCTTGCACAAGACTTCTTGCACAAGACCCCTTGCACAAGATGTTCTTGTGCAAGAAGCCATCAGTGTAGACATAGCCCATAGGTGGGTGGATGACAGTGAACTGGCTAATCGCATCCAGCACCTGGCTCTGAGAAAAGCCCAATTAGAGGAGATGACTCCTGAGAAGAGGTGTTCCCAAGGAAGGAGAATGAGGAAGAAGCCTCTTAGCCCATAGCTGTGAGGCACTATTTATCGGGAGAAGAGTTGCAGGTGGCAGGGAAGAAACTAAGACTAGATTTGGCGGAGGGCGTGGATGGGGGAGGAGAGCTGATAAACTCAGAGGTGGTGTCTCCTGGCTGAGAAGCCTGGGGGCTGTTCAGTCAGACATTTCTGTGAACTTCCCCACAGATCCTTGGTAAAAGGGACACCGTGTGACATGCTAAAACCCCTCAGGCAAATCAAAGAAGGGGTCACCCCAGGGCTCAGCCTGGCAGAAGGAGGTGCCTGTGGATGGTGCATACTGTCAACAGTCCCATAAACTTGAGCCTGAGCTCCCCTCGGCTGTTCCTTCCCTTCCTGGGCTGCCTCTGCTTGGTGTGGACATTTGGCTGCTCTGAGGTGACTTTGTGCCTGTATAAAGCAGCCACGGTGAAGCGGTAAAACTCTTCCCTCTCCCCTAAGCGTCCCCACACATGCCACTGGCAAGACATTAGAGCTATACTGAAAAACAAGTAACGAAAGGTTAGAAAGCTGGGAAATGCACCCACAACACCCACCCCGCACTTCCTAGCTTCGGGCCCTCATGTAGGCAAGCCAGACAGGAATTGCACAGCGTTCCCTCTAGGAGTTATCATGCTATGGTGGACCTTTGGGTGTGCAGGAGACATCTAGGACTATGCAGGGGCCTGCTGGACTAAAACATATCTGTCTCCCATTGAGGGGCCGTGGCAGCTTGTACACCCTGTGCTGGGGAACACGGTGAGGATGCTGCTGGAGTTCGGTGGAAACCTACAGCAAGACTGTCGATTCTGTAGGGTAAGTATCTGCTGGTGTGAGCATCTTGCCCAGCAGCCTGCTGATTTGAACCGACTAGTGCTCTACCGCTCCATCCATTGGACGGAGCTGTTGCTGATGCAGCTGGAGTAGTGTCACTGAGCTCTGGATTGGCGTGTTTAGTTTAAAAGTCATGTTCCGCACTATCCTGTGAAGACTGCTTTAAGCAAGAGGGCTGATATGCTTTTCATTCGCATGGGGGGATCCAAAAGAAAGCCAGCGAAGTCAATGGACGCACAAGAGGGTATGCTGAGAAGAATTGGGCCCCTTACCTATAAAAATGAGTCTCAGAACAAAATCCTGGCCCACACTGGTCTGGGAAGCTGTATATAAACCACACAGGGTCATTGCAAGCAGAGTTTCCACAATATTTCAAAGACAGATTCAGGGCAATCCTTAGGACTTATGGGCCCTGTGCAGTACTATTAAACTGGTGCCCATATGCCCGTGGGCAGCCGGGAGGGATGACAATTTCTTAGAGCGGGGATTTCACTGGTGCCCATATGCCCTTTGGCAGCCGGGAGGGATGACAATTTCTTAGAGCTGGGATTTTATAATTTTTAGCAACACACTAATGAAATATTGTAAAGCAAATTTTAAACTAAGGACCTGTCGATGAACACAGTAAATTCAGAAACTGGTGACGTATACCAGCGGGTGGCAAATGCCTGTTCAAGGCTTCATTACCCCTTGAATGGTTCTTTCTTTCACAGGTTCAGTGTTTTACTAATAGCTCTGGCAGGCTTTGTCACTTTTAAGTCACCTCAGGCCAGGTCTACACGAGGGGATAAGTTTGAATTAAGATATTGCGTTAAGTGCGTAGCTGGCGTCGATGTACCTTAGCTTGAATTTTGGCGCCATCCCCACAGCGGGAGGTCGATGGGAGAAACACTCCCATGGACTTCCCCTATGTCTCACAAGAAGTAGGAGTACTGGTGTCACCGAGGGCGCCCTCAGCATTCAATTTAGCGGGTCCTCGAATACCAGAAGATTGACCTTCGGAGCATCGATCCACAGGTAAGTATAGATGTGGCCTTCCTCTCTGGAGGAAGCAGAGCCACAGAACAGGGATAGGTAGAGGTGGGTGAGGGGACATTAAGACCCAGGGGTGCCCCAAAATTTTGGGTGCCCTACGCAACTACGTATTCCGCGTATGGGTAAGGATGGTCCTGGACAGATTATGTCCATCAGGACTATGAAAGAACTTTTGCTTCATAGTGGCCCTCATTTCTAAGGTGCAAATGTTTCACTAGAAAGACAGCAGCTCTGCATTGGAGTAGAGTTTGGTGGACAAAGTGGTTTGAGTACCCCTAGGCAAGATGCAGCAGGTGTGTATGTTATAACTGTACTGCACCTTCCACCTGACTGATCTCAAAACAATTGTAGGATGGACTCTCACAGGGCGGCTGCTTCTGAGGTAAAACATGAAGGAGGAAAAGTCTTAGTCGAGGATACCTACGCAACTCCCCTGCTTTCATAAGGACCCACGTGCAACATTGTCTTGAAAGTCCCTGTATAGTAAGTGGTGTTGCTTCCATTAGATCTCATCTCAAAAGTGAAAATACAGACTAGCCTGAATGACTAAGAATCCTCTTTTTGGTAGGGGTAGATGTAGATTATTGGTATCACTTCCTACAGCGTCACTCAGCCTCTGTTATGGTGCTTGATATACGTTCCACGGGCTTCAAAGAGAACAGAAGGATGGGCGAGGTATTTGCCGTAAATGAGTATATAGTCACTTCATGAAAATGACCATGTCTGAGTATTTTTAGCGTGCACACACACACACACACACACACACACACACAAGCATATAGTACTACTCACTGCTGGGGTTTTCTTATCCATATAAAAGAAAAGCGTCGTGCCTCTGAGCTCTGTCCAGTACTGCTGAAAATCCTGTTCGAAAAGAGCAAGTGACAATTTACCTGGAAAATCTTTTTAGCCCCCAAAGAAAAGTGAATGAAGTGCTGGTAAGAGAATTATCGTAACCCACATGGGTTTATTTCAGTGTGTTGTAGTTTAGTAAAGGTCAAACTCCCAGCAAATGAAACAATTGGAAAAAAAATTCATTGTAGGGCAGGATTTCAGATATATAAACCTGAGGTCTGAGTCATTACTGTGTTAGTCCAGTGTATGGCAGGGTAATTCTGTTGGCTTCAGGGGAGCTATACAAGTTTAAACCTAAAGCAACATAGTAGTGATTGGGGTTCAGTATCTTGGTTTTGGTAAGTGACCAAGTATTGGTAACAATATGGATTATTGATAACACTGACAATACGTTGTAACTTCCGGTCGTAGCCAAGTTAGTCTATACAGGTAAACTTAAAAAACAACACATGGTCCGGTAGCACTTTATAGACTAACAAAACATGTAGAAGGTATCATGAGCTTTCGTGGGCACAAATCACTTCTTCAGCTGTGCCCACAAAAGCTCATGATACCATCTACATGCTTTGTTAGTCTATAAAGTAATACCTTGGTATTGAGGACTAAATAGTTTTTTTCCCCCCTCGTTTTTGTCCTGCATTTAAAACGTGAGCTCTGGCCTGGGGGAAAAGAATGGTTAATATATTTTATGTTGCTCTCTCCAAGTTTAATTAAAAACAAGACTCCACACCAAGAACAGATGGAAAGGAGAGCTAGAATTGTATTTGTTCCTATGATAATGATTGTGAAGTAGAGGGAGGAAACAGCAGGATTTGAGTCTACTAGGACAAACAGCAAACTAGACTAAATGCACTTTCCTCTCATCCCAGTCATCAAGTCAATCTCTTAATTATTTAAACAGTGAGTATCTGTCTAGGTACTTTCTGAAGATATGAATCGACCAAGATTTTTCTGAAAGTGTCTACGCTTAGGCAGTTCGTTAAGTCCACTTTGTGGCACATAACTAAGTGGGGTCTGATTTTTTTTTCTTCAAAAGTTCTAAGCACCTAGAGGTAATCATGTGGAATCCCCATCATTAAAACTTTTTGAAATCAGGTTGGATAAACATCCATCAGGGCTGATCTAGGTTTACTCGCTCCTACCACGGCGCAAGGGGCTGGTCTCAGTGGCTTTTTGAGGTCCCTTCCTGTTCCAGCCCTACATTTCTAGGATTCTCTAGCATTGACGTTAGTGGGAGATTTGGCCCAGGTACAGGCTGCCAAACCGTCATCAGATAGTGTCTTTAGTAACCTGGGACAAAGGGAAACTAGTGGAAGGCAAACAAATTGAGAGATCTTAAAAAAAGGTGAATTGTCCTGCAGCACCTTAGAGACTAACAAAAAATGTAGATGCTCTCATGAGCTTTCATGGGCACAAGCCACTTCTTCAGATGAAATTGAGAGGTGAATGCTTGCATATCCTGCCAACATTCCCCTAGACAATCTAATCCCACAAAGATTAATATTAACTGTGCTTGTTTGTTCACCAGTATCTCCCTCTAATCTAAAGTTAGATTGTTAAACCCACAGGGACGCTTTATCTACTTCCCCTTTCACTGACCGGAGGCTATAAATCAACAACCAGCCCTGGTAAGGAATACTGCTTATCGTTATAAATCTTCCCTGTAATGAACATGCTAGTTAGTGATGGGAAAGGTTGCAAGACAATTATAATTAAACACCCTCCTCTCTTGTCTGAGGCAGCAGGAGAGAGGTATATTATGGGCAAGACCTTTCATTTTGGGGTTTTATGTGGACAGGCGGACAGTAAAAAGCAACAAACAGAAAAATACAAATCTTGATGGTAAAAACAGTTTCAAGCTGTGGTTTGTTTTGTGAACTGTCCATTAACAGTATGTATACCGCCCCCTGCACAGATGTGTATCTGCTGCTACGTTGCCTCACTTTAACAGACAACCTCGCATGTCCGCTTATACTACTTTATTCTTAACATAAACAGATCCACCTATTGTATTGGATTTCTAAAAAACAAAAAAAAAACAAAAAAATCAGTATTTTCATGGATTGAAGTGCTCCAAAATGTAGGTGAAAATCAGTAAAACCTTTTCTAACATCTGAGAATTATTTGATTTAAAAGCCAAAAAGATTGGGGGGAGATAGCTCAGTGGCTTGAGCATTGGCCTGCTAAATCCAGGGTTGTGAGTTCAATTCTTGAGGGGGCTGTTGAGGGGTCTGGGGCAAATCTGTCAGGGATGGTGCTTGGTCCTGCTGTGAGGGCAGGGGACTGGACTCAATGAGCTCTCAAGCTCTATGAGAGGGTATATCTCCATGTTATCATGCAAGTCTTAAATATGAACTAGTAAATGAAGATGGTAAAGCAGAAGTGTTTTTGAAAAAGTACTTCTTTTTTTGGCAAAAAGTGAAAGTTGCTCACACCAGGGTAAAAACAACACGCCTGCTAGGCCTGACAAGTTCAGGTGGGCGGAATGTTTTCCCCAGACTGCCCCCCGGTATGGTGACCTCTCCCCTGTGTTCTTCTGTCTCCTCATACATCTTTTCCGGAGTTCTCCAGAACCACTGGCAAAGCAGTGTGGTTCTCCCCAGAGTATCCTAGTCATCTCTGATCCATCTAGAAATGGGTTGTGCTTTTAGGACTGACAGCCCTCTTCCAGCGTCAGCCCCGAAAGAACTAATGAACGCAGCGAGGCCCCGTCCTTGGCTAGTAATTTTGCCAAGAATGGAGAAGTGGAGGATGAGGGGAAAGTTTCACCCTTTTCTTTAAGAAGTGGTATAATCCTTTGTTTTATTGAAAATGCCCTGGGCGACTGGACTGAACTCCTGTTATCTCTTTACTGGGAAAAGCTGGGAAAGATGTTGTCCTGAATAGTTGGGTGGGTGCAAGGCGCCCCTCTGTAGAGCAGAGAAGTTGCACCCCAGAGGTTGCCTTTGTCTCCTCCCCACCACCCCAAAGTGCTAGCAGATACACGGAGGGAGGTAAAGTGCACATGGCATGAAGCTGTTGATGCCTGCTCCTCTCCAGCTCCATGCGGAGCACAGATGACGTATCTGCTTCACCAAGCAGGCCAATGAAATTGGCAGCATTTTGCCGGGTGAATATTTATTTTTGCAAATGAGAGCCCTGCTCCTCTCATGCAGCTACAGTTATCAGGCTCCCCATCTTGGATAATGTTCAAAGAACAGGGCTCTGATTTGCCACGTGCCATCCTCCCGCCACTGACGTTAGGGGACTCTGAGGGGTGGCTGTGTTAGTCTGTAACATTAGGGGACTCCGAGGGGTGGCCGTGTTAGTCTGTAACTTTAAAACGACGAGTCGCTACAGGACTGCTCTTTTTTTTGAAGTTAGGGGAGTTACACGGAGACACAAACTGGCCCGATATTTTTACTGGATGAGCGAGCAAGAGATGTCTGTTGGATCTCTGTTCAAAAACCACCACACGTGTGATAATAAACAGCATAAGTGGCAATAGTATTAACACTTCAGGATCTCAAAGCCTTTCACAAACATTCAGCTACTTTCACGATATCCTTTTGAGGAGGCTGGTCGATAGCATGGCTCTGTTTAGTAGAGAATCCGGCATAGGCAGATGGAGGGACTGACCCTGCATCGCATCCGCAGAGGCAGCATTTTCCAAACGGCGCCCTTGTCGAGTGTAACGTCGTTACTGTGTACGTATAGCGTGAGAGACTTTCTTTTCAGAAAGGTGGTCTATGGTTTATATTTTGAGGTTCATGATGAAACCGTCATAGTTATCGTGGGTCAAATCGAATATTATGAAGCAGTGCGTTATCGGGGGAGAAATTCCTCCCCACATGGAGAGCTGGCAGGAGGACTGTGCACAATAATAGTCCTTCCTGATGCCCTGTTTTGAAGACTAAAGCCGTGCCCCGTCTTTATTCACACCCTCTGCACAGGCATGAATTTGACCCTAACAAGAATGAGCAAAACTCATCACTCTGCAAGCTCTGGAAGTTCAGGAGCGTCTTTGGGTCACGGGTCAACAGCACTTTCCACCCACTTATTACTATGAAAGCTAGTCGGGGGAAGTGACACAATGAAGCGATGTTTAGAATAAGTCTGATTGCCGCCAGCTATGTGAAGAGCAAGGGGAGTATTTCACTTGTGGTTTCTTGGGGTTGCAATTTTCCGTGCTGTTGTTTTGTATGTGAGCCACTGTGCTATTTTGGTCTTTCAACCGCGTCCATCCTTAGTAGTATGCAAGTCCTGTGTGCTCTCTGGTCCCATCTACACTGCAGTTTCCTCCATGGTAGGAGACTTTTTTTGAACCAATTTTTATTTCTATAATTCAGATGGCTGGAGTCTCAATTTTTAAATAGGTTTTTTTTTTAAATCATCTAGACGAGTGTTTCTCAACAAGGGGTGTGAGTCCCCTTAGGGATACTCGAGAAAAGGATGGGGGGTACGTCACCATAACTGAAATTTGGAGAAAACTGAATTTTTGTTTTAAGTTTTACAGTGCTTTATTATTGTTGTACTTTTTACACCCAAAAATTTCATCGTCCGCCTGGATACTATTAAGTTGTTTAAACACATGTGTTGCAACGGTAGAAAAAAATTGTGTGTCTAAAAACGGTAGGTACTGGGGGTACTTATAGATTGTTTTTTTGAAAAAGGGAGCACTTCAAAAAAAAAAAAAATCTAAAAACGGTAGGTACTAGGGGTACTTATAAATTGTTTTTTTGAAAAAGGGAGCACTTTAAAAAAAAAAAAGGTTGAGAAACACTGATCTATGAGTTGTAGTTTTGGGGAAATGATGTGCTGTCCATGCCAGTTAGCCTACTGGTGCCAACAGAAGTCATTCAGTAGACATGGGTATAAAGTGCCGTGCAGATTGGGATCCTCGTGTGTCTGATTTGCCTGGCTCTGCCAATGAAAAGAACACCCCTGGCATTTACTTGGAGCTGAAAGAAAGGCCAGAAGTATAAAGAGAAACAGGGAGAGACAGGAAAGTTGACCTATTGGTTGTGCAGAGCCCTATAGAAGTCAATGGAGAATCCAAATGGGCATATTCTCATGAGGTTCTCTTTTTCAGTGTGATAAACCGGGGGCTCTCGAACTTCAGGGCATATGGGCATGTTCTCATGAGGTTCTCTTTCAGTGTGATAAACCGGGGGCTCTCGAACTTCAGGGCACCGCAGTTAGGGTTCCTTGTCAGCTGGGTGCTTGTGCAGCCTCTCCGGAGAGATTCAGCTGGAGAGCAGAGCACTCACAGCTAGGGCTTGGTTTCTGCTGGTGGTGCACATTCACACGTGCCTTGGTGCACACAACAAAATGTATTCCACACATGGATGGAAAAAAATCCATATATAGATGGAAAAGATTAGGAGGAACATGGACCGCAATCCACTTCTGGCCACAAAAATTACTTCACAATCCCAGGCATGGGGACCAAAACCTCAGTCCACCTGAGCCCCAGGTTGGGGGTGAGGGTAAAGCCTGAACCTCACCACTCTGGGTAGCTGAGGGGCCAGCAATTTGAGCCTTGCTGTGCAGGGTGTCAAGCTTTGGCTTCAGCCTGGCTCCCACCAAATCTAAGCCAGCCCCTGGAGCACCCACGGGGAAAAATCACCAGCACCAACCTCCTCCTCCTTCCCCGCACTTCTGGCATGCCAGTGGCCCCACTGGCTGGTTTCTTCCTCCTCCCTCCTAGTGCTTCTGGAGTGCCATGAGCAGC